TGCCAAAATGGCTCCACAGCGCCACCTTGAAAATTTCAATGAAGTCCTATCGGAAGCACGTTTGACCTACAGCTACGCAATGTGGTAGGCATATGGAGCTGGTCGGCACAAATAAAAATATCTCTCCGCTCCAAGGTCTAAATATTATCTAAATATTTCAACAGAGTCCCATTGTGACTAAGTTTCACCTACAACTACTACATTCGCCACACATGTGTAGCAACTTGTGACGCACAAAAAAGTCCATTAGCATGTTTCTGTAAACCCAACAGGAAATCCGCCATGTTGGAAAAACCGTGCCATGCCAGGCCATTTTTGCTCAAAAATGGCAATTTTTGGCCATTTTCTCAATCGAACTCCTCCTAGGGGGTTCGTCGTACACACATTTGGTGAGCACAAACTACATGACATGGTGACTAAAAGTTCTTCAAATGTTCCGCTGAGGCCCGGTTTGGAAATGGCGGCCCGTCCAATTTCGATCAATGGCCATTTTGTCCATTTTCGCGGTGTTTTTTGCATTCAACTGACTCTTGTCGGAAGGTCGTTTCACCTACACTGACAAGATTCGCTGGGCATGTGTAGCAGGTCAGGACGCACAAAAAAGTCAATCAGCGCCAAGCCCTAACCCCAACAGGAAGTCCGTTATGTTGAAAAACCCCTGTGACAATTTTGCCACATTTGGCTGACTTTTGCCCATTTTTGACCATTTTCAAAATCCATCTCCTCCTACAGGGAAGGTCGTACACACCTGAAATTTGGCCAGCACAAAGTACAGGAGGTGGTGATTGGTCCATCGCCGCTTGTGGCTTTAATTTTATTTGGAACTACAAGATTTGGGATGAAGTGAGGTATGTTTGGCTCCAGGCTCACTTGCATTTAAATTGTGATAAGTTAAATACCTCAGCGTTCTATCAGAGTATGCAGTGTTTCCAACTATGAGTCAAGCTCTATTAGAAATTCATTAGTTGGTCATGAATGCTGCAGTATACAGCCGCTGCTGCAGAGAGCAACCTGCTGAGATTCCTGATCAATCCTGATCGCTGATGAATTTTACAATATAAGATCGCTAACGTGGTTGCATGTGAGGGCCTCTGCCTGCAGGTCGGCCACCAACTGGTTGAGGAAGCATGAGAGTCTCTGAAAGCTGAGGGACATGTACATACTGATGTCTCAGGTTCCCAATTTGAGTGTCTGTGTGTGTGTGTGAATCCAAGCAGGGGGGGTATCCAATACAGGATAAAATTAGGCCAGCCAGGCCTTATATTGCTGACGGAGCTGGGGTGGCCAAAAAAAGCCTGGAGCGCAAGCCAACAGTGGAAGGAAGAGAGGGGAGCAAGCAGGACCGCCGCTGAAATGGCCACCAAACGTAAGGAAATAAATACTGACAGCTTTAAGTAAAGCGAATCAGAGCAGACGGGGGAGCTGGTCTGAGTCCAGCTGTCAGGTGGAGGGGAAAGAGAGAATTTGTTGTTTTCCCCTTCGCTGGGCAGATGTGAATGCAGACAGGATGGCAAGTCAAATACTGAGTCCAGCATGTCTTTCATTTGGTGGACAGATGGGCAGAATGAGACTCAGCTAAATGAGACCTGTTTGCTGAGTGAACGTTGTTTGTTTGTTTCATTCTTAACGCTTCAAATTGTCCCACAAGAGAAGGTTAATAAGTGTTTTCCCGTCAGGGTTGTTGTGTTTGAGATTAGGTGACACTTCTGTTGGTAGGATTAGAATGAGAGTTAGCTTATGGTTATGCCACGGTTGGAAAATTACTTCACTGGTGTAATAGCAGACGTGTGAGTGTCTGCTTCTGCCTCAGCAGCTTCCCGTCTAAATAAGACAATCTGACAGCATAAGTGTTTCCTGAAACACTGATTATGAAACCAGTTACTTGTTTAGTTGTTTGTGTGTGTGTGTGTGAATGCATTACTCTGCTGTTTGTGTTGTTTGTGTGTGTAAATGTTTAAGTTAAAGATTCCCAACTGTTTGTTTTGAACAGATATTTATCTTAAACATTGGACGCTCATCTAATGCTGTGACTGATTTAATGTATAACACGATAATTAATTCAATATTATGATTGATTGTGTCTATCATTCAGACAGCACAGCATGATATTAAAAGTATTCATTTTTCTCGTGTTTTTGGAAAGAAAGGAGATGTTAGGACTTCATTGATTTATTATAGGATCTTCTCATTGGTATACATAATAGAGATGTTTTGATCCTTCTTCCACACAATATATAGTAACTAGCTTTGTTTCTGTGATTTTTCTTTGTCACATTTTCCTAAGACTCTTGCTCACTCACTGTTTAAAATGACTAACTGTGTGTTTTGCCTGTCCTGTAACTAAAACTATAACCAGCTGTAACACTCTGGTACAGACGGAGTCGAGTGCGTCTCATTTCTGTCGGCAGCTGCAGGTTTGTTTGTAATAAAGAAGAACCTGATCTGGGTTGTTAGACCGATGGTGGTGTCACTTTCACAGAATTTAAGAAAACTTCAATGAAATCCAGAGAAACAAAGCCCTCTTTTATCAGCTCCTGAAACAAAACACAACAGCTAAGACTTCATTTGTCTGTAGGGAAATTACCAAAGAGAAAAGGGGACACGCGTCAGACCAACTCACATTATCTCTATTTGTTCAAATTAAATTTAAAACTCAAAGGAGCATTTTTAAATAGGCTACTGCGTAACGTGTCAGATTTGCGGGCTGATTTGTGCTGCTGTTACACTGACTTCTCAACAATGGTGACAAAGGTGGCCACGCTTTATGAGAGACTTCTTTTGAGACTGTTTTGTTTATTCCATGTGTTTTATAATCCAAAACGGATGAAACCCGAGAGAGATAAAAAAAAAAAGTGCTCCTCCTCTGCCCTTCAGTACTTTCCCTCATTTTGAGGCATCTTTACTGTCACTTCACACTGTCATTTTCATCTCTACTGCAATTTAATTAACTTCTTCTCACCCTTCTTTCTTGCTACCACGAGGAGTTATCGAGCGATGACAGTGTAAAATGCTGCAGTGTTAAAAAAAAGCCTGTGTTAGAATTATCATTTAAATGCAAAATTCAAACACTTAATCAAGGCCTTACTGCATGTAAAGTGCAAAATTAACATTTCTACCACAGATTCACTCAAACCCAGTCCTCCCCTCTGTCAATCATTCAAGTCCTCCCTGTGTTGTTGCAGTTGTGGATCTGGTGTATTGGCGGAACTTGAGGAAGACCGGCGTGGTGTTCACAGGCCTGGTCATCGGTCTGGTCAGCCTCTTCCAGCTCAGCGCCATCACCGTGCTCTCCCACATCTGTCTGGGTGTCATGTGCCTCACCTTCCCCCTCCGTCTTTACTATAAACTGCTGGAGCTGCTGCGCTGGAACCCCGGCGTCCACCCCTTTCAGTGAGTTACCATCAATGCAGACATCTTTCCGACCTCCAAACCCACACTGGATCTTCCACGGCAGAAAAATGCTGCTGCACTGCTCTCTATGGGTCAAAGCAATAAAGCATGTTGCACTTTGAGCCAACTGGAGGACGTGATTTGAACATTTCGGTGTGTTCTTACGGTCCTGTGTGTGACTCTGCAGGTCGTATCTGGATCACGACGGCTCTCTCACGGACAAGGAGACGGTGGTGCTGGTGGAGGAGGTGGTGCTGCTGGTCGCGTTTGCTGTTTCAGAGATCAAAAGGCTTCTGTTCATCGACAGCATGATCGACTCTATTAAGGTCCGAGTATGATGATAAGTCATGATATGAAGAGTTCATTTGCAAAAACAGATAACTCCATCTTCACAAACCTTCAGAAAACCCATTTTACCTGAGACGATATCAATCAAACTTAAGTTGCCTCTATGTTAGTCACGTCATTTCTACTGAGTCAAATCCACTCAACTTCAGTGTGATTGATATCATCTCGAGCAACAACAAAAAAAAATGTCTGAAAATCTACAAAAATGGAGTTATCTGCTTTTGCAAATGAACTCTTCAGTATATATACAGTTATACATGTATGTAAGCTAATTCATAAAACCTGTATGTTGACTCTATAAAGCCCAAAAATCATGTGGAATGTGTAGGATTTGTAAATGGTACAAAGAAATGCACACCTGCACCCCCTGCCATATATCTATTGTAGGTACACATTTGTGTAAGCACGAGCAACTTCATGCAGTTTTAAATCCACCTATAATCTGTGTTTGGTTTTATCCAGCAAATCAAAAGCCCCTTTCAGATGTACACTCCTTCCAGTTATTCTGATGCATCTGAACGTGTCATCCAGACGTCTGAATGAGCACCCCGGTAGCATTTCTGTGAAAGTTGTGCAGCAATGTTAGTAGATCAAACCTACGGTAGTATCACTCACTACACACTTCCTGTCTGAACATAGCAGGAACATTAATGAGCTCCGTCTGAATGCCATCACTTTGTCGGATTGATGAATCCATCCACGTTACATTATCTTGTGTGTGAAAAGGAATGCAGATAAAATGGGCACAGAGCCACATGGTGGTTTTGATTTTCACTGGGATCAACAGCACGATCAGCTCTCTTAAATTACAGGGAGACATTTGTTAATACTGATTATTCAACTTTTCCTGTGTTCTCTCCCTCAGTTTGTTGTGCTCTTGTATCTGCTGACCTACGTCGGCATCGAAATCAACGGGCTGACTCTGGTGATAAGTGGTGAGTTGCATGTTTACGCCTCGCGCTTACTCAAGTCCCTCATTTCCTCCGACTGTGTTTCCTTACACTTCAGCAACAGAGCAGGTTGTCAGGCTGACACTGTCTTCTTCCAGCGATGACTCATGACTGTTTCATTATCTGCCCCCTCAGTGGTTAAAATCTGATTAGGTTTAGGCAACCAAAAGCACTTGGACGTGGTGGTGATCGTGGCAAAGAAACCGGCTTTGGCAGGAGAGAGGACACAAACCTCAGTCTCCTGTTTCAAAGTCACATGGTTCATATGTCCTACTGTTCGCCCGGACTACAGAGCTAAAGGCCCGTTCACACAGAGACGTGTTGCATCAAGAAATGATTTTGTAAACCTTGTATTTGAAGGAAGAATGGATTCCACGAATTCAAACATACCTGCAGTGTTACTTAAGTAAAAGTACCATTACGGCGATGTAAAAATGCTCCATTTCAAGTCCTGCATGAAAAATCCCACTTAAGTAAAAGTACTCAAGTATTAGCAGCAAAATGTAATTATACTATAGCATACTTTTTATATAAAGAGCATTATTAGAATATTAATAGTGAAGCATCACGGTGTCAGCAGGATGTTACTGTTGAAGCTGCTTTGAAGTACTTTACAGCAGATAAATTGGACGGATCATCACATGATTGACCCTGTTCAGGACTTTTGGAGGCTTTTGGACCCCAGGCCAATGTTTTAGGTGACAGGTATTGTTTTTTCATTTGCACTTGGAACCAAAAATACATCAACTTATCAGAAAATGTATTTAACATAGTTTAAAAATCTATAATGAATACCAACAGATGTTTTGCAAATGTTCTTTCTTGAGGTCCAGAAAGACCTTCTACGTATGGCAACATGAAAGTCCTGAATAGGGTTAACTAGTGAAGAAAATAGAAAAACACTGTATTTTTTTTTCATTTTTTAGACTTTTTCTCTAATGTTTGAGTTTTTGTCAGATATCATTTCGACATTTACTCAAATGAAACTATGAAAGAAGTTTAGATGGAAAAAAAAATCCCTATTTAGTGACGACTGAGCCAGACTACACACCACTTTTTGTAAGACATCATAAGAATAAAAAGGTTGCTTTGATCTTCAATGTGTCGTATTTTAGAGCCTTGTTAAATTATTTATTATGTAAAATCGTCAACCTTATAGTAAGCAAAGCTGTGAGATAAATGTAAAGTGTAATATTTCCCTGTGAAATGCAGTGGAGTAATTGAGTAAATATACTTAGTTACTTTCCATCGCTGCATACTTGTGCAACAGTACTGAAGCAGCTGTGATAAATCCTTTGTCATTGCTTTGCAGCTGTGATCGCCATGTTCTCCCTTCCTCTGTTGTACAAAAAGCAGCAGGTGAGTTTCATTTGACTTTTTTTTACAATGCAAGTGGTTCATGAAAATGATAAATATGAGTGCATGAACTGGTCTCAGGGAGTTCAAACTATACAGACAGGCACTAACCTCTCTGTCGTGTTGGTGACAGGTGCGGATAAGACGGTTGGTTAGATCTGTCAGAGCTTTTGTAAAGAAAATCAGAACGATGTAAGTGACCTGCTCTTCATGTAATGATCTGTACTCATACTATCAGCTTAACAAAACGTCTTTTTACATTATTTTGCGTGCTGTTTTGTTGCAGGGTCCTCGGCCTGTATGAATCAGTGAGACCCTCCGAGGCCCCTGCACCCGCCCCAAAACCTGCAGTTGCAGCCGCCCCCGCCCCCAAACAGAAAGCCAAGTCAAAGTAACTTGTTGGTCACATGTTTGAAAGCACCCAGGATTTGGGATTTGGAAAATGTTGGAATGGTACATCCTCTGTGGGGCCGCTGGAGGGGCAGCTCATTTCCATTTCTCCACCATGATGTTTGTTTATGGGAGCAAGATTTAATTGATCCTGACAGCTGAAACAAAGCTGCCATTCACTCAAGGAGAGGCGGGGGAATTTTATTTACCGAGATGCTCTCTGTGGGCAGCGTTTAATATAACCAGTTCACACAGTCATCTCCTGCAAGTAGGGCCGACACAGAATATCACTGTTTTGTTTTTTTTCCTTCGATAACAAGTCTATTTTTATGTAACTAGTGAGCACTGTGTTCCTGTTGAACAGCAGAATTATTCATCACGAAACACTGAAGCATTATTGCTGCTTTCATTATTTAGCATCCTTCAATGTTTCCTGGTCAGAATACAACTGACATGAACATCATTTTCCATTAATCAGCATTAATAGTGTTGTTCAAGTATTAGGAAAAGCTTTCTGAGCAGCAGCAGCTACTTACAACTTTTATGAGGCTCATAGGAGAAATAATGAGAGCATTGTCCTCTGCTCTTCGTGTTAATCGCATTTAATTAGGAACAAACAGTGACTTCATAATGCTCTTACAGCAGTTTGCCGATTAAAAGCGCAAAGAGTAACAATAAAACGACGCTTAACAAGTGAGAGGAACCTTGACTGTCCTCCGCAATCCACCTGAATTATGACTGATTATTGGACAGAAGACACCTTTTTTTAATTTGTAGATAAGAGTCTTTGTTTCTGCTTTAACAGTTTAACCATTCATTTACAATAACATGTTTGACCATTAGGGGGCAGTGGAGACAGGCTGAAAAACAATGCTAATATAGACTGTGCATAAAAGATGGTTGTAATGAGTGTGACATTGGTTTTTAGATGATGTTTTGAAGACGATCTGTCAGTCACAAGGTAGCCACACTCTGACGTACCCTGCTTTGTTTTTCTCAAAACAGGACCATAATTTACTAAATTAACATAATGCTTTATTGAAGAAGACATGAAACTAGCAATCAAGACTATAATAGGAAACTGTTTACTAGGCTAATTTCTCAGTTGACAAGTACGACCAGCTTGTGATCATGCAATTGAACTTGTCTTTACAACCAGAGGAGTCGCCCCCTGCTGATCATTAGAAAAACTGCAGGTTTAAGTCACCTCCGCATTATTCTGACTCACCGGATGTAGACTTTGGGTATAAGCCTGCCTTTTCCTTCATGCATTTCACATGGCTTTCTCTTAATCATATTCAGTGAATCAGCAGCACCCATACAGCTAGCAACCCACATATCATTTTTATTTATTTTTTTTCCTGAAGACCGTGCGTTCTACTTCCTGCATCCCAGTGTTGCAGGGGCACCATCACTGTATCCTGGGCGACTGTAACTGGTTTACAGAATTACAAGCCAAAGCTTTTTTTTTGTCCACTATGACAGAATGATAAGGAGGTGCAGCCAGACCATTCTGCAGCACTGATGCAGCGCCGTGGTGCTTAGCAGCCATTTAGTTCACTTGTAAAACCTAGAGGCTACATCCATCTTTTATATACAGTCTGACTGATAGAGCATCACCTTTTTAAGTTGATATAACAAATCTCCTAACAGTTGCTTATTTACACAACCAGTAGACATATAAAACATTAACATTCATTTGGAGCTGTGGCGATCTAGTAAATGTAAATCAAACATTCTCTCATTTTTTATCTCTGTTTTTGGTCTCCACCAGCACAGAAACATCAGGCTCTTTAGCTGCTAAATGCTCCATTAGATTTGTTAGCTTGCAGTTAACGTTGTCTCGCCAGCGTTTGATGCTGCGGGGATGGTGTAGAGTTTTGAGCTTGTTTAACATTTTAGGTGAAAATAGCTACTTGCTGCCTGAACACGACACCAAAAAGTAAAGATGGAGCCTGTTAAACACAAAAAAAATGAGCTAAAAGACAATAAACTGCTCTGTAGATCAGCAGATTCAAGTGATAATTCTCTATAGGGTTGTCAGTTTGTGTGACTTCTTTTATGTATAAGTAAACATTTGATCCATTATTATTAGTATAAATAATAGCCTTGTATTGTATAAGCCTGGCAGAAGGTCTGTTTATTATTCTCGTTGCTCTCTCAAACGTTCTTGGAGCAAAAGAACAAGAGATACATTTCAAGTTATTGTTGTGTTTGCATTAATTTTCTCCTGCATTTGTCCTAGTTTCATCTCTTAGTTCTAACTCACTAAACTATCTACATAATTAACCATTCTAATAAGGACACAGCACCTCCACTCTGCTGGATAATTGTGTGAACTAGATACATCATAAACTGCCTTCAGAGGACATCTCAGTTCATGTAACTGTATCATACCCCTTGAAAGATATTCACTGTTATTGTCAGACATTGGACAAAAAGTCAGATAGTTTTATGTAAAAGAAAGGGTCAGTGGAGTCATCTTGCGAGGTCGTGTCTCGCTTTCAAAAAAACAAGAAAATAAAGCAGCATGCCGCTGACAGGTCGTGAAGAGAAAAGAGCTCGAGGGGCGGTTTGACAGTGAGGTGGAGGACAAAATACAAAGATATCCACTTAAAGAAACCATTAGATTCCAATTCCTATTCTGCCTCCAGGGTGGGAATATCATGGAAGTGTCAGCATACTAAAGGCAGAACGATGGCATCGTGAGCTTTCTGTTTGATGTTTTTGCCGGTAACAACTGATTACTTCCAGTGAGGATCTGACATTTGCATCAGTGCAGCTGGCTGCTGGCAGAACTCCATGTCAACACTTTCCAAATCAACCAAACAATTCAAGAATGTGGTTGACGGTTGTTTCCAAAAATAGCCAACAAATCACCTCATTAAGCAAAAAACTTTCACTGCAGCATAACAGGGAAAGTTTTCTCATCGCTCACCAACCAGCTCCGAAGAACACTCGGATTGTTTATGATGAACCTTTACCTTAAACAACACTTCAGTTGTGATCTTATGTGGAGAAATGCTCTTGTTAACTTGCAGTGTGTCATGTCTACATTTTTACCCCTCGCAAACGACAACATCAGCTGAAAGACCAACAAGTTACATGAGGATGAAGAGACAAAAATGTGGGTAACTTTTCCTTTATTGTGACAACTAGCTGCTAAACCTGAGCCAGTAAACTGTGAGAAAGTGATTTCAATGCAGCTGTTTAGCCGGGGAGTGGATCAGGTGTTAAAGACCTCGAGGTCCTCTGTTTCAGATCTTAAAATGATGCTGCACTCATACTAACATGTCTTAATGAGCTTAAGTTACACATGTACGCATACATAGAAACACATGTTCTAACTCACATCTGGTGATGTTGAATTGGGTACCGAGATCTGCAGACAGTTTTGCTCATAGGATGCGCCGTCTAAACAATACTTCTGGTTGCTGCTGAATTTAATCCCATCAAAATGTACATGTTCTATGCTCTTAATGCCGCAAACAGCATTTCATTCACCTCCTCCTCTATACAGGGAAGACAGCAAAACTTGGATGTGCAAAACTATCTGCTCGGTTTCAAAAACACAAAATAAAATCCTCAATCTCACTTTTAACGATGCGCCAGTGTAACAGTTTACTATGGTACCACCTGATGTCACTTTGTACAACTACAATCAGCACAACATCTGTTTTACCGCCATCTTTTGGCTATTGATCTTTTTCTTTTTTCTTTTCTTTAACTCTGTTAATCTTAATGCAACTGTCAAATGCACAACAAAATAAAAACATCCTTAAGGTCTTGCCAAATGCCAGCTGCCTAAAGCTCGGCATCAACCACTACAGCTGTCACTTTTATCTTTTGTTTTAGGTTTACTCAGATTTCTATAGGTATTTATTGTTTTTTATTGTTATTTCCTATTGTCATTTTGCTCCCCAATAAAAAAGTTATTTACTACAAATGAAGGTTAGCACTTTGTAATGACTTCTGGTATGTGTTGCCTGTATTTACTTCTTTTAACGGCAAAGTTAAAGGCCTGTTTCATAGCGGGTCAATGAGCCGGTGTGCACAATATCGGGATCCTGAAACTGAAGATCCATTTATCCATTATCTATACACCGCTTAATCCTCACTAGGGTCATGGGGGGCTGGAGTCTATCCCAGTTGACTCAGGGTGAAGGCAGGGGACACTCTGGACAGGTCGCCAGTCTATCACAGGGCTACACTTAGAGGGAAGCTCGTACACACCTGAAATTTAGCCAGGACAAACAACAGGAGATGGTGATTCAATGTTAGTAAAATGCTCTGCAAAACTCTGACCACATGGAAATGGCAACCCCTGAAATTGGTCAAAACACCATAAAACACCATCATACCAGACATGATGAATAACTGCCTTGTATGTGCTCCGATCGGCCTAAATCTTTACACACATGCTCCGACTCTCAGCCAGACCATGTTTCCACCACGGCCAACATGCATGCCACTGCGGCTCACGACTAAACAGTGGCTTGTCTAGATGCCGCACGTGTTCCGATCTAGCTAAACTTCAACAACACAAATCAAAGTCCCGCCTGCAGCTCGTTTCTGCCAAACACCGACATGCGCAAAGGCCAACAAGCGTACGGCGAAGACCCGTCCATCTCCATTTTATTATTTCTTCATGACAATGAAACGCGTTTTTGAGGTACTAAACGAACTTGCACACACAAAAAACTCTATCTCAGAGGCTACATATATATAATTATTACTTTTGTCAGTTTCTACTTATTTCAGTGACAGCTGTTTTTTTTTTTTTTTTCTTCTTTAATGGGAGGGTATGAATACATTTGAGGACGACTGTATTACCTGAAACTCAGTCTTTTATTGGTGTGTTTATAATCAGTTCTGTTCATAGCTTCCTCTACCTCTCCTGACCCCTGCTGGTGATTTGGTTTATTGCATGGCACCGCTGAAAGAAGTTATCACCATAAAGGTAACTTGTCTTGCTGGCTTGTTTTTTTTAGGGTGGAAGTCCATCCATCCATTATCTATACACCGCTTAATCCTCACTAGGGTCGTGGGGGGCTGGAGTCTATCCCAGCTGACTCAGGGTGAAGGCAGGGGACACCCTGGACAGGTCACCAGTCTATCACAGGGCTACACTTAGAGACAAACAACCAACACACTCACATTCACACCTACGGACAATTTAGAGTCACCAATTAACCTCAACATGTTTTTGGACTGTGTGAGAGGAAGCTGGAGAACCCGGAGAGAACCCACGCTGCACGGGGAGAACATGCAAACTCCACGCTAAATGGAATTCAGGCATCAGTTATTTTGCAATTTATATTTTTATACTGACAAGATGTCTTCTGTGAAAATGACAGTTATAGCTCCTCTACCATCAAATATAGTTTTTATCAAACACACTCTCTTTGACAAAGAGCAGCCAAAGCACGGATGTGCAATCGAGTGACAAATTAAAGGAAAAACCAACATACAGTCTCTTACTAAAGTTTTGGGCCAACATGTGCTGCCAGAACACTTTCAAAGCACCTCAGTATCGATTCTCAAAGTTACTTTGAACAACTTTTAATTAATTTACAATGACTCTTCTCTCTAAGGAAACAGTTCACCAACAAAATGCCCAAACAGAGACACTAGATTCCCTCACTGTAGGGGTCAAGGGTTCAGGTTTTTCTTTTCATTTGCATATATTCAGTGATGCACTGAGACATGTAGCCACTAGGTGCTGCCCTTGTAAAGTCTCTGCTGCACCCCTGAACAAGACGGAGAAACCCAAAGCACTGACTGATCCAAACAAATAAATGAGATCTGTCAAACATTTCCCCCATCAGCAAGGCATCATCACCACGTCAGCTCCTGCTTTTCAAACAGACATCAAATCATCTCGCTCGAAAATGTTCGTGGTAATAAAAAAACCCCAAAAAAACCTGCTTTTTCTTTCTGTTGTCGGAATCACAGTAAATGATGTGACTGTGACCTTGAGATGATTTCTTTTTTTCTTCTCAAAAACCCTCCACGCATCTGTTCAAACTCTTGCTCAGATCTTCAAGGACTTCTTGTCTTGTTTCACCATGCAGTGACTCAGAGCCTCGATCTCTTAGAGTGTTTGCTTTAAAAAGGTCATTGAACACCCCCATGTGCTGTAGAGCTTTCTGACTTTACACAGCGCTTCACAAGAGTCTTTTCTTTTAGTCGACTTTCTTGATGGTTGCGTGTGATTTTTTTCAAAAATGTTTGCGACTACGGACAAATTTGGCAACAGTCTGCGCTTTATTCCATATATCAAACAAGAAAACGGCTCATAATCATCTAGTCACATTGGAGGAATGTGAACGCTACAGCATGCTAAAGAGGGAAAACCCCCAAAATGTCAATATGGCACTTAAAAAGGTTAGTTTGCAGGAGCTTCACAGTAAAAGTCAGACTTCAACAAAATGTCAGTCTGATCTGATAGAGAGAAAGTGAACATTTTCCGTGTATATAAAAAGTCACATATCAGTAGGAGGTTACAGATCTACATAATAACACAACACAAAGGCTACATTTACACATTTACAAATCTACACGTTCTGCTGCCAAAAAGGATTGTGTCATAGCATTACGGGACACAAACACCTTAATGAATCCCTTTATGTTTGTGCTGCAGCTCGTATATTTTAAATATATTTTTATATTGAAATACTCAGTGAGCTTTTGAATTGCCCCTAGGGGATAAATAAAGTTATTTGAATTGGATTGAATTGGATATTTAGTGTCACTGGACCTCAGAAGTCGGGTCTGGTGATGTGACTGCGATACAGAATCACAGATTTACATTCTCCAAGGGTTTGGGTTTCAGTGCATCACTTTGACCCGTCTAACTGCATCTACTCAAGCACAAAGTGATTATAGGGAAGATATCGTGAGTTTCACTAAAGCACCATCTTCGTATCCTAGGAGATATCAAACACTGAAAGCTGATAAATACAGAATATCTGCAAATGATATAACAAAGTAAAAAAAAATGAACTTATGGGATATGTTCACATTGTGGGTAATGCACTAGTTGTTTCGCCCTGATTCCAGTTTTGTGCTAAGCTAACTGGCTCTAGCTGAGAGTTGTGTCAATCAGCTCCAAAGTGTGTAAAAACTGAGAGATGTTTTCCTCTGACGCCGCCACCTGTTTGCTCTTCCAGATCTCAGCGGATCAGTCAGGTGATGGGTGGACTGTGTTCACGGCGTCAGTCAGACGTAGTGTTCTCGGTGGTTGATGTACACTCGGTCCGTGCCGCTCTGGTGACACACCCACTCCAGACGGGAGGGCTGCTGGGTGGAGCTCTGCGTTCCCGCCAACACCGGCCTTGTGGAGGGCGGCTGCTGCCTGTCAGCGAGCTCGTACCTGCGCTCTGCTCTGCGAGTCTGCAGATTGAAAAAAAACAAAACACATCATCATCCAGCCAACACTCTTTCGTGACACAAAATAATCTTCTGCAATCGTCATGTTAAGCGTGAGAAGAAACAGGAAAGGTTTTCCCTTTAGGCCACATTATGGTGTGAGACTAAAAAAAAGCGAGTTGAGCCGAGAACACAAATTAAACTTTAAACTATCCTACGTGCTATGAGTGCAGCCGTTAGGTGTTCTGCCTCATAAAAACAAGATAATGACCGTCAGTAGGTTGGTAGAACTGCCTGTTGTGACTCAGCACTCATCATTAGCTAACAAGGTGTTAGAGATGTGATGATTCACACACAGGATTTTGAATTGGCTTGGAAAAAAAAAAGAAAAAAGGAAAGAAAAAAAAAGAAAAAGGGGGAGTGGGGTTTACCTGACACAGCCAGGCTACTTGTGATGCGTGGACTCCCAGAGGAACAGCCGGTGCTCTCTCGGAGTAGGGCGGAGGCGGCTTGTGCGTCGGAGGAAGGTCAATCCTTCAGAGAAAGACAAAGACGAAAATGAAACGGCGCTGAAGAGAGATTTTCATTTTATTTCTGGAGCAGACGGACTCCGAAAAAGAGGCAACACTGTAATTACAGTAGAAAGAAGCAGAATAAAAGTTTGTGCGGGGTGCAAAATCTATTATTGGATCAAATCCGAAGGACGGCCGCTTAAAGAAACACCTTGTGAGTCAAATGAAGTCATATTGATGTTGCACAGCTTATCTTGGCTTTGAGATTGCACATTTATAACACAGAGCAGCTCGAGGTGCGGAGTTTTAAAGGGCATTTATTAGGCAGGGAGGATCAAGAAAAACATGGGAAATGCAAGATCCAGCAATTTCGCTGCTTGACCGAATCTAAGGAATAAAAGTCAGTTTTTGACGGTTATATTTTAAAAGTGTCTCCTGCAAACCCACCAACTTTATGGAAGTACAATCCTAAACCATTCGGGTATCTCTTTAGCCATTGATGTCCAGTGGCGGTAATGGCATTTTAACTAAATCAAAAGGCTTAAAGATATTTGACAACACGAGGATAAAGGTGATGGACTTTCATACATAGCAGCAAATTAGAAGATTTTTGACAGCTGTTCCTCTAAACTCCTGTAAGATGCTGAAGTCAGAGTGATTCCTTTAATTTGCTGAAATCCCCGTCCACTACTAAACCGAAACCTCAGAACTGACCTTGGCCATTCATAAAAAGACACCATGACAGGCATTGATTTTCTAACGCTGTGCATCGCTTAATGCTTCTCTTTCATATTTGGGAAGAAGAAATTACAGTCAGTCCTCCCGGTGACCTGCCGTCCTACACTCACGTGTGATGAAGCAGAGGGACGAGGCCTGCGTCAACCTCCCCACCCCCCCCCTTTCGTTCCACTGGGACTTCCAGCCACGGTCACACTTAAGATGCTAAGTTTGTCGTGGCATTGACCAGACCAACACATGGCGAGATAGACCGTCCTGTAGTGTCAGCGTGGTGATGCAGGGCCCACGCCCCAGCACGAACACCGAGCCGTAACTCACGCTGTTTACAG